ATGGATACTCACAATCAACCCTTCGACCTCTTGCTCGGAGGCTCGCCCCATGATTCCTCTACATCCTACTCGTAAGACTCGAGCCCGAAGAGACGTCTCAAGTCTAAATAGAGACCGTCGGGGCCGTTGTCTTCCCACGCGTCCTCGCGGAACTCGCGCTCGTGCCGCCGCAACGTTCGTACAAGTCGTCGGTGCTCAAAGTTTAGAAACCCGGGAATTTTTATGTCGTTCGTATATTGATACTATAAATTAAATTAAATCAAATTATAATATATATTATAAATAATTAATGTAATATAAAGCATATATTACTTACTCTTTGGAAACACACCAGAGTCAGCAAAACCCGCAATAGCCCCATCACTAAGTCGTGAGCCCACCACGACGCGTTCGATCGACCCCCTTGCAGTACCAATTCAATCAATGACGGCATGACTTGTACTTGTTTCGCGTGTAATGAATTTTAATCAAACTTTTCGTCGCTCACTGCTCGAAATGTTGTGACAGCCACGACAGGGTAGACATTGTCTCGAACATTTTAGAGTAAGGGATGAATCACTTACGAAGAACGCTTACTCTCAACTCTTGATAAGAAAACAAAGGTAGCACGTTCCCAGTTAACTACTTTTAAATTTGAATAATATATTATATATAAACCACTATCGAACGGCTTTGAACGGCTATCGAACGGGTATTGAACAGCTTTGAACGGCTATCGAACGGCTTTGAACGGCTTTGAACGACTATTGAACGACTATTGAACGGTTATCGAACGGCTTTGAACAGCTTTTGAACGGCTATCGAACGGCTATGAACGACTATTAAACGACTATTGAACGGCTATCGAACGGCTTTGAACGACAAAACATTTATACACCCTTCAAATATTTATACACCATTCAAATATTTAAAGTCTATGAGCATGTACTGAAATGTAACATCTGTAGTCTGATAAGGTGGCTGACGCCGCTATCTAACGTCACGTATTGAAATTTAATACTCGCATACTGGGATAAGAAAGAGGAAAAGGGAAGAACAAAAGAGAATAAAAATATATTTTAACAATAATTTATTCTAAAAAATGTTTGGGTGAATCTTTATGATGATTCGTCCACCAATTGAATATTTTAAATACATTTAAAAAAAAAGCGCAATTTTTCAAATGTTTTTCACAGCGCATAGTATTAGTAACATCTAGCTTATTTAACGAAGTGATATCTTCATAGTCCGCATCCAAGGTCTCAATAATAACGTCGTTTCTCGCATCATCGTCAAGTATATCGGCCAGCCATTCTTGTTTTTCGTGTCCTTTAACGTACACGATAGGAGATGCTCCATTTTCCTCTTCCGCCGCACCCATCACAGCTCTCGTAATCAAACGTCTGGCGAAGCTGTATGGAACGTTTCCATCCTCCCATTGAAGCCCATGGTGATGTCCGATTAGCCATGAAGCTTGGCATCTCTCAGATTTTGTAAGCGCACGCCATGGTACGGGACTTGCAAAAAAGTAGTGAGAAAGAACAAATCCATTTCTCAGTATCGCTA